AGGGTTTTACGAGTGGGCACTAGGTTAGTCGAGGGATTACGGGGACGGACGTACCCCGAGCGTCTACTTAGTATGGGAATGCATTCAACGCACCACCGAAGGCTTAGAGGAAACCTAATCCTAACCTACTGTATCTTAACTGAGAAGGTTGGTCCGGATTTATCTGAGCTATTCAGTCCCGCTAGATTGTCTGTTCTACGCGATCATTCCTTGAAGCTGGACAAGCCGCGCTCCGATCGGATTAGGGCGGAAATCCGGCTGTCACGCAGAGTCATCGAGCGCTGGAATATGTTTCCGGAAAGTGTTATCAGGGAATCTACGGTTAAGGGGTTTGAGCGTCAACTTGACGCTCTTGGGTGGCAACACGAAACCTTTCCATTTTCCTGAGTAACTCGCATCTTGGTATTTCGATTTTCTTTTCTCTACTTTTCATCACTCATTGATATCATTTTCTTATTTCAAGTGCACTTGCTTATTCTGTACCTTCGATTTCTCTTCCTATCCTTTGCTTACTTCACCTGGTTGTCACAGCAGGGACTGCTAAGCAGTATCTGGTTGACCAGAGTGCGATACGGTTGTTCTGTTTTAGATCCATGAATAACTGAGCACTTCCTCAAATCCTGGCTCAACGATCCACTCAAGATGGAACACTCACGGAATTCTCCTATCGTTCCAGTCCCATCTGAACTTGAACTTGAATTTAAGCGGGACCGAGGCACGGGACAAGAAATCAGTATGCCCAAGGTTTCGCACTCCAATAAATGTCAGAGTAGAGTACATTTTTTACACTCTTCCAATGGAATATCCATCTAAGTTAATTTCGAGGGCACAAACAGCGAGAAAGAGCTGAAAGCTTCGGATTAATAGAAAGCATTTTATCGAAATTGTGGGATTTACTTTAGACATCTCTCTGCACAAATGTAGTGTGCAATGATCCATGGGGACACGAAAGATCATCCAGGATTAAGAGAGCAGGGAAGAACTGATTCCGACTGTAACAAGCGCTACGGTGGTCACAGCACACAAGAGTCAGTTCAGAACTCGGCTTGCGCATAGCAACGTGTACTTGGCAAAAGTCCAAAACCAGGATGAATGCATCAGCGTTGTTGCTAAAATGCCGCTCGATTTTGGACTTTTCGCCCATTCTCTCTTGTCCCACGGACTGTCTCCACTACCGCACTGTAAGTGTCCTCGATATCTGGAACAAAATCCTCTGCGGATTTAGAAAAAATATCTCAAGAATGCAGAGTCCAATTAGTGACGTCTTTCTGGCTCCACTTGCTTCACTGATGACTAATCTCGCCAACTTTCCCATAGTCGTTTAGCCGGGAACTTTCACACGCAAAGTAATGCTGCTGTATAGCAGTTACCCGGGCATGCACTACACTAGCAGATTGATGGAGCAGGAGCGTACCATCTGGAAACCATGCTAGGTAGAGGAACTGATACTATTTTCGTCGCAAGACTTCTGTAGAGCGCGTTTGCTGATCTTTTCCATGACTTGACAGACGATAAATGTCAAGCTGATTGGTCGGTTCTTCACAAGGTCCTGCTGATTCCCTCTGTACTTAGGCATTACAATCCCACTTTCAAGTCGATGGGTAAACGACCAGCCTTTAAAGACAGCTGAAAGACTTGGCATGTGGGTGAGACAACATAGTCAGCCACTGTCTTGAGGAAAAGGGGACGCAAGCCGTCAGGGCCATATGAATAGTTCGGTTTTAGTTCAAATAGAAGTTTCAAAACTGTGTCGGGCCTGAATTTACCAAGTTCTAGGCAGTAGGGGTGCGTGGACTCGTATGTTGGTCGACTGAGCTTGTGGCGAGTATACGGAGGACTACTGCCTGACTAGCGGGTTCGCTTTTCCTCGTCTTCATACAGCGCGATTCCTGTTGCGTTGCATGACAGCGGGTATGCCGCAACCGGCTTTAGTTCTCTTGTTGAGATAAGTGTATGGTCTTTTTGGTCTAGAGGATAATTGTTCTGCTAAACTGAGTACAAATTTTTGTCTCTTCTCACGGTTTTCCTTGAAACTCAGGTTCCTAAATGTTTGGTATTTCGAGTAATGGGTCAGTTGGGAAAGCTTCAGTTTGTCTCATAGTTTCTGCCGCTGATTCATGATGTGCTGCAGTTTCTGGTCAATCTAAGGGCGAGGCTGCTTACTAGAGTTTAGGACAACCTGTTCAATGAGCAGGTTCATTTTGAAGCATAGCAAATTCCAGGCACCATCAACATCCATATCTTGCGGATGATCCAGTTCTGGGTGCTAGCTACTGTTCTTGGGTGGGAAGGATCGGTCTGCCAGAAGTTCCGACGGTATACTCCTTAGTTGTGCGTGACTGAATGCCGCATTCAAGTGAGGAAGAGTGCAGACATCGCTATGGTCTCTTGGTGGGGGAGAGGTCAGATCGATGACGTCAGCTATTGTGTGTCAGCACAAGATCGAAAATGTACAGTGGTTGACTCGTCGTATCCTGGTAGGCGTGCTGTATTAGGTTCGCTTCAAGAATTGCACTAAGAAGAGCAGCATCAAAGGATTCAGGAGAGAGCCTTCAGTTGAGTAGATCCCAGTCGATACCTGGTGCCTTGAAATCCCCCAAAATTAAGCAGTTCCTACCTCCCATAGGTTTTGACGATCCAAAATGCCGGCACCGTTACTCGACGTCGGCTTGTACACCACCTCGACAATGAGGGTTTTCATCCGTCATGGACCCGACACCATACCATTTCTGAATCGCCATCACTAATGGTCTCGATAGTGTGAACGTATAGGTCTGATCTCCAGTCTTCGTCCCATGGCGGTCTGCCCGAGAAAACTGATATCTTGGGATATTGACTTCGCCATCAGGTGTGTCCATGGTTAGCCGGGACTCATTGCAAACAAAAAGGTATGGGCGAAGCTCCGAAGTGAGAGCGAGAATCTCATCCCATTTGTTTCTCATGCTGCGAATGTTATCAGCCATCACTCGCGGTCCATGTGCTGAGCTTGATTTTGCAATCTGGGCAGGACAAAGACCGGCCTTCATCGAGCTCTCGGTGTTATCTGCACAACGCGCAAATCCACAATGAGTAGATTCGTTTCACCGTTTGCTCGTCGAGTTCTAAGCTCATCGAATGCCGTCTTCCTTTTACCACGATCTTCTTCGCTGAGACACCTCAAGACCTAAAATGTTTCCCCCTTGAGCCTCGAGGTCCGCTTAAGTATGCGGCAGCATTCGGCCTCCTCTTGGTAGACTGTTTTATGGGGACGAACCTTAGAAGAATCGTCTTGCTTTCTGCCGAAATGAAAGGCAGAGACAATACCAACCCCAGTTTTCCCATCATCAGACAGTAGAGACCATGCCCTTGAGAAACGTTTGGTTGTCCAAAATTTTCTCCGAAGTTGTTTGCTTGTCAGATTCAGGCACATTGGCAGTAATCAAACGCCGCTCGCAAGGAGGTCTGTTTCCCTCGGGAATAGTAGGCTTTGGGCGCTGAGAATTCGATCTCACCACATTCTTTAACTGATACATTCTATTCAGGACGAATTTCAGTTGCGAGCGAGAGGAATCCTTGCGAGTGTTGGGCCTTGAGACCTTTATTTTATCACGCCGCACCGCCGTATCCAGATTAGCTCTCTGACGCGGCGCTTTGACGCACGACGGCAGCATAGATTTTCTTCTTAGGCTGAATGTTAAATTCACTTGGTGCCAGTGTCTCCAGCGATAAAGCAGAGGAGTCTCGGCTACGTCTTGTTTGATGTCATCGAGCTGAACACAGCAGGCGGCAGGAGGGGGTTAGCTTTTGTTTCCCTTGTGTGGGCCCCAGGGCTGAGCACCGGTGAACAGATTTCAGTGCTGTTAGCCAAATCAGCGGCTTGGCATGTATCACAAATGAAAAAGACAACCGAGGATGAAATCCGTGGAAGGCGTACATACCTCTTGGCTTCGATATTACAGCAGTGGATATACAGTCAACCCTTGCAGGTATTGCACTGCACGGTTTTTGAGGGGATGGTTACTCCTTTGCGACAATCTAAGCACTTTGATGAATTTTTCTCTTGGATTTGTGAATGCGTTTGACAGAAGTCAAGTCCTGTTTCCAGTGTTTACACAAACACTGTTTTCAATAATGTTTTAGCCTAAAAATCGAAACAGTATGGCACGCCAGAAAATCGAGTTATCGCGCACCTTTTCACCATACTGTCAGCTCAGGCTCGATTCCCTCAGCAGCTGTGACAACTGCATCCAGCTCGTCCGGGGGTGTTAACCAGGCACACTTTACATCCATTGTGGTCTCTTACTAGGGGGTTGAGATAGCTCCACCCAACCGCCTGTGAGGTATTTGTTTTGCATTGTAGCGATCAAAACTCAAATTGCTAAGGGCTCTGGTTCGCTTGCCCGTACAAGAAGCTGGAAGTTACTTAAGCGAGAGCCTGTGTGTTCCTTGACTCTTGAACCGTATTGATCTAACCTGACCCAAGGCAATCAAGATCTACGTACAAATCGGACACGAAAGCACTCAGAATCCACAACCGGAAGCTTACTGCATATTGGACGACCCTGCCAGTTCCCCACAGCAGTCCCAGAAGCTAGCTCGGTGCCCTTATGTCGCTCATCAGCTTTCCTGTGTCTACACTGAGCCTAGCGCACCACGCTCATCTTTTGTTCCTCACATTAACAGGTCGAGACCGACTGTGGCTTCCGTAGGCGCTGAGGATAGCGTCTGTCAACAAAGGGAATAAAGTAACAGGTCGGAGCGTGATCTTGCATCGATCTCTAAGGCAAGAGTTCCTTAAACCTCGATTAGGTGACCATCGTTGTTTCCTCTTCTCTTTACCTTCCCTTTTCACATGCAGCCATCATACGTACATGTTTTCACCATCCTGTCAGCTCAGGCTCGATTCCCTCGGCAGCTGTGACACTGGCATCCAGCTCGTCCGGAGGTGTTAGCCAGGCACACTTTACTAAATGGTTGAGAGTTCCATCCATCCACTCAACTGGTATTTGTTTTGCATTGTAGCCCCCTGGTCAGTCAAGAGCTACGTACACATCTTATACGCAAGTCCTCTGAATCATCGACTGGACTCATTCTACAGCCATATCTCCCGTACTCCTGTCATTTTGGTCAATTTTCTTTCTCTAATCATCGCAAGGCTGGTGTTCCTGCCATGGGAATTGCATCAGTCGTTTTGTGTCTGGTATGTTTACCCCTTATTTTTGGGTATTTCACAGATTTCGTTGCCAATTTTTTCTTTGTTGATTGCCTGTTTTATAATCGTTCGTTTGACCATTCAAGATTATTTCCCCATCGATTGTGTGCCGAATTGAAGAACTAAGCCAGCGTATTCTTCGACGGCCTCCGTGTCTCAAAGGTGAGCTGTTCTATGTGCTACGAGACCTCTCCGATGCATCGGACTAATATGAAAATGCCGTACAAGTGATACGAACCAGCCGGCGGTGTGGTGAAACAGATCTCCTTATCGAAAAATTCCCTGTAGCCCGTTGGAGGCCAATTCTCCTCTTTTCCGGACAGTACCGTATAAAGCGGACTACGCGTGCTATCCTCCAATGTTCACAGTTTAAGAAATAAGCTGAATGATCTTCAGTTGCTTACCTCGATGACTCATCCAAACCTTATGTCCTTCTCTGAAACGTGGTTCTTTCCAAAAATCAGATACTCGGATGTGACTGTAGGCACTCTTTATTATTAAGAATCGTGGTCAAACATTGACAATTTAGTTCGCTTTAGTATCAGGGTATCTCCTGTTATCGTGCACCATGCTGAGGCTGATGTCGCATTCATGATGCTTCTTCACCGCAGTTGGGCTAAACCAACTTACACTTAAACTAGGTCTTTTTAATGTGGATAAAATTCATTACATTTTATTTTATTTTCGTTCTGCCTACTTGCTAATCTTCTCCCAACTTACACACGTCGCTCATGCAAATTGTGGTAAACTTGCGTAATTTTATCGCGTGGTATATTTTAAATGACTTTCGGACATTTTGTACTTATCGCGTATTCACATGTAACCAATTTCTTCCATATGCTCATTTAGCGAGTATTTATGTCGTCATATGCATTGACTTTATTCGATATCGGCATTTCGAATGATTGGCTATTGTTTGACATCCCAGGTGTGGCTGCACTTGATGTGCATGTTGACAAGGTGCCTACCTGTCTATTACCCACTACCTCGTCCATCTGTCTCCAGGAGACAGTTGGTCGTTGCTGGAGGGGACGGGCTGCACGGTCCTTGTGGCCGTGCTAGGCTCGAAGAGTGGTTTCCATGCACTAAGTATGGAGCGGACAACGGTCCAGCTACCGCCTTGTGTGCGGTTGATTCCCCAAATACAGCGTGCTTGTGTTTGCCTGTGAAGGAGTGTGGGTCGGCCCCGTTGATGAAACGTGGCTCCCATCCGCATGCCTCCCGGTTTTATTCCTTCGGGTTTACACTGGATATGGGGTGTGTGGATAGAGCTGTGGGTGGTGCAGCGCAAGCCATCCATGGTCCCTCTGTAGGCGCAGGGGTCCTGTGGCTGGCTACACTGACAGGCAAATCCGAACCCGGATGCCGCCAGTCACGTGGACTCCGGCCCGGAAAGCGAGAAGGACCAACGGCACCCAGTTTGGTCGTCAGTGACTTCATTTTCCACTGCCAAGTCAACTTCTTTCCAAATCTAGCCTTGCGCCATCCTACACCTGGCAGACTAAACAGGGCCCTCCTAGGTAAGCGATGACGAGGCATACGTAGCACGTACCCGAGCCAACGCAACATATTCAGTGTTATCTGTTGATCTAGGGAGCTAGCATGTTTATCACTACCTAGTACTGACCTACGCGCATCATCTTTGCGGACACGCTGGTGCCATCGGACACCAGCAATGTTTCGCAGACAATGATGATCAAAGACTTGAAGGCGCCTCAGATCTTCAGACCGAAGGAGCCAAGTTTCACTACCATAGTGCAGAACGGCCTGTCAGACGGAGAGAAACTTACTTCTGTCGCCAAAGATGCTGCAGTTTCAAGAAGGCATCTCTGACTTTTGCAATGCGTGAGCTGACCTCAGTTTCCATGCGGTCATCATTGCTGATGCAGCTGCCAAGATCAGTGAATTGCTCAACCACCTCGAGCTCCTCGTTAGCAAAGGTCAAGGGGTCATCAAGTGGCTGGTGGTCCTGTAATAACACTTTGCACTTTGAAGATGCGATTTTCATTCTAAATAATGGAACCACTTTAGACAGGATATTGAGGGTTGATTGTGCCGCCGGAACGTCGTCGAAAAGCAAGATGATATCGTCCGCATAATCAAGATTAACTAATCGTTCACTAGGCAACACTTCAACGCCTACATTGTGAGATTCCGCAAGGGAACACTCCATGATAGAATCCACAATGTTGAACAAAAATGTGGAAATTCGGGCAACCCTGACAGACACCACTCGTGGTCGGAAAGCTATCCGATAGGCCACCGTAGACCCTGACGCGGCCTGTAGTGTTCGAGTATAGAGCACGTGGCATATTCACATATTTCGTGTAACAGCTTTCCGCGCAAGCATTTCGAACAGAATCGATTGACCGACTGAATCGAAGGTACTCTTGAAATTGAGGAACACAGCTATTGTCGGTCTGCGGTATGCGTGGCGCTGCTCTAGCACCTGCTGCAAAATGAATATATGGTCTATACACCCACGTCCTGGGCCGAAACCTGCCTGCTCTTCCCTAATTCTCGATTCCCGTTCCGCAGTGAGACGACGAACGAGAATCGACGCCAATACTTTTGTCACAACTGTCGTTAGGCCAATACTCTCGTGGTTAGAACAGTCTATCCGGCTGTCCCTCTTGTATATTGCCACTATAATCGATTCGTTCCAATTAGCCGGGGCACTCTTCCTTCCAGATACGTTTGAATAGGGAGGTCAGTGCTTTGCAGAGGACCTCACCTCTAACCTTAAATAGTGCAGGTGGTAGGGAATCCGGGCCAGCAGCACGAAAACGATTGAAGGCTGTGATCGCGTTTCGGACCTCGGCCTCCGGCGGAGGCTCTAAACTAACCGTCCATAGCTGGTCCTGCATCACCTGAGTAGGAAGAGGTCCGGGAGCAGGGGGCCAACTGAACTGATCTTGAAAGTGTCCCACCCAACGAGCCATACGACGTTCCTTATTGTGTATCAGTGCACCCGTCTTGTCTCTGATTGTCTCACTGACGCCTGGTTTTCTGGGACCAGTGGTGCGGATCAGCTGGAAGGGCTTGTGGTAATTGCCTACTGCTCCTGCCTCCTCCATTTCTTGAGCCCGAGTGGTCCACCAGGCTTCCTTGGCAGCACGTAGACTCCACTTTAGTTCGCGCCTAATAGCCCGTCTGGTCACATTGTGCTCAGGTTCACCGCCCTCTCTAATATGCAGTGACTGGTGCGGTGACGACTGATAGTGCCACAAGCAGATGCTCCTGCGTCGTGCATGTCGACCGAGGTCTTATTCCACTGAAGCTCAGTGTCATTAGGACAATACAGCGAAGGTTACATACGCAGTGCGTCTTGATAGGCTTGCCTGACCTAGGGCTGAGACAATTTCTCAGTTGCCAATCGGCGAAGGCATTCGGTGCTCCTCCCCTGAAAGTTCATGGAGAAACGACAGCGTACCAAGGCATGATCAGAGTCGACGCAGCTACTCCAGTACGAGCGGCAATCCAGGATGGAACCACGCCTTCTGTAACTTATGGCTATGTGATCAATTTGAGTTCATCGCTGGCCAGCTACAGGAGGACGCCAAGTGGCACTTCTGGGCCCACTGTTTCTTAAAACAGTGCTACTAAGAAACAACTGGTGCTCCGCACACAGTTGCAGCAGACGCTCACCGTTGGCAGTCCGTTCTGGAGAGCTTATGAATAGCTCAGACGCCCTACTTGTGCGTTCATATCCGCTGCAATTACTATAATATCTGAACTAGTAGCACTGCGTAGTAGCGCGTTCAGTTCATGATAGAATGTGTCCTTGACTGCATTGGAACTGCAGTCGGTGGGAGCATAAGCGGAAATCACAAACAAACAACGTTCTGTAATACTTCGTGAATCAACCTTAGTTGATGTCAAACGGGTTGCATTTAAACGGCTGTTCACCGGAATCAAATCAACCAACGATGGCTCAGCCTTAGAGCTTAGGATGACACTGACAACAACCACCCTTTAGGGTCATTGCTCCTAGTTTCGGACACACAACACATCAATACCCAGTGTGTCCAAGGTGCCTGCGAGTGCATCTTGTTGACCTACTTGTCTTAGACTGCGAAAGTTGAACATCGCCATGGAAACGGAACAGCTTCTCCTTATAAGGGCCTTTTGCCGCTACTTGCGGTGGGTGGTAGCTGCAGATGGTTCTATTTCAGTGGCACTTCGGTTGCTGCCAATTAAGCTGGGAGTTATAGTAGGAAGGTTAGTAATGGGAGTCCGGATGGGAGTAAGGGAAACAGGTGGAAAAGAAGGGAGGCGCAAAAAGTAGCATGTTTTCGCTTATCCGCCCTGTTGTATACAGCAGATAAGGCGACCCTTGATAATCTGCGCGACGGCTGATGCATCATGAAGTTTATGTTTGAGACAAAGTAAGGACAAATTTCGGTCACTGAAAATTTTTGGGGTTGCCTTCAGCATTGCTTACTCTCGAGGAGAATAAACTTCCACTTTATGTGGACCATAGTTGCAACTATGGAAAATGCATTCCCTGTATGTATTTAATCTGCGTTGGAATCTTCCTTCAGACATTTTCTTGATGCTCTGGCCGCTGCAGAGGATAATCAATGCTGCGTTATCTGCTACATCTTGCAGGGCGCATAGATGTTATGTGCTGCTGCTCAAGCCTTCCCGTCTTCTTATTATTCCTCCTACGCTTTTTCACCCTTATCGTCCCGTTCCAACTTCACTTTTATCCCCCAGTTTTCAGTCCCCCAATTCTTGTCTCTCACCTTGCTTTGATAGGCATTTAGCTTCTAGTTTAAATTCACATGTAAACGCGCAGCGTCACTCCTGCCCCATCGACTAGCCTATGTTCAGCCATGCGGTCCACCCTAGTTCATGGCTTCCATTTGGAGCCCTCGACTCCCTACATATTTTCATGCCTCAGTGTACGCACATTGCTACAGATCAGTGAACAGGCAGCACTTTCCCGACCATTAGAGTCCCTATCGATCGATATCTGCTGCTTATCGGGGACCCACCTGCAAGACTCGAGCTCAGTGCTCACTTTGCGATCCCCTTTCAGGTGACACCAGCAGCACTTTCTCATTACGCCTATCCGATGACGATGCAGCTGAGAGCACCGGCCAAGTCGATTTTGCTATTGTTCTGAGTCCCTGGGCTGAAGCTGTTCTCGTTGATTGGATTCCAATCAGTGGCCGGATGTATGCGCTCCGATTGGCTTCTCGTTCAAAGCTTCGAAGCCGCACGGGCTAACAGGTATCTAATCGTCATCGCTGTCTATGCACCCACAAACTGTAGCGATGATTCGGAGAGGCTGCATCCAGAACTGTCGCTCGATTTGTAACACATGTGTGGACACCGATCACGGACACTTGTGTGCGCTGACCTGCGGATACGTTTTGGCGGACGGCAACAACGACGTTGTGAGCGCATTGACACCAGTCAACTGACGAAGCCAACTGTTCTGAATGCGTATCGAAGTACACTGACATACGGGTTGAGTAATTGCTCAGTAAATACAATTGAGGTTACTGGTCTCATGTTCACCAGACCTCACTTGCAGCAGGAGAATCCTCATGTGGTGAGTCTAATAGCGGGCATGGACATTGGCTCTTTTCGCGGTCTCTGAAACTTATCGATGCTCGCCGGTACATTCCGGTTGGAAGCGAACACAGTGTGACTCGCAAAGGTCTGATGGTAAAACTCCGTGCTACATTGAAGAGAGACCGGGAATTCTGGTGGTCTCATCGTGCGTCTGAGATGGAAGTGGTCGGTGCCCTAGGTAATCCTCGTAACTTATTCCGTCTGATACGGGAAACGGGCAGTAGAAGACCTGGTGTTAGTGAAACAGCCTATCCACAACTTGTCAAAGCGCTTAGAACGTTGGGCTGTGCACTTTGAAGTGCAATTTAATCGGTCGGAATTGTCAGATTTTTCGCCGGCCACTGATCGCCCTTCTCTGTGGGCTGTCCCTTAGGATGCGCCCGCTCCCTCAGAAGTCAAACGTCAGTTCGGAGAGCTGAAGGTGAATAAAGCTGCGCGACCAAATGATTTTCCTCCATCCCTCTTTTAATTCGGGGGACCTGCTTTTGTGGATGATTTATACGTGTTACTAGTAAAAGTGTTTAAGCAGGAAACTGTCCCAACCGACTGGAGCTGCTCTATCATAGTCCAAATATTCAAGGGAGGTTTACGATCGGAATACAGTAATCATATAGGTATCAGTTAGATCTCCATCGCCTCCAAATTATTTGCCTCTGTCACCATTCACAGACTGACTGGCCCTCTTGAAAGCCATATTCGTGAAGAGCAAGCCCGGTTCCGTTGAGGTCGTGGCTGCATCGACCACATCTGCACTATGCGTCAATTGTGTGAGCACTGTTAGGGATATTGGCGGCCTGTCTTTGTCGTGTTTCTTGACATTAAAGTTTCCATCGATTCGGTTGATCGATGTACGCTTTGGGACTATCTATTCCGGAAAGGGGTATCCGAGAAATATGTAAATATTATCGGAGCGTTATAGGCGCGTAGCTCGAGCAGAGTGAAGGCTTACGGCAAACTGTCGCTGTCCTTCAATATCTCCAATGATGTGAGACAAGGATGCCCGCTGTTAGCTTTCCTTTCCAATTTTGCCATTGAGGAAGTCATGGCGATCGCGTTCACAGGACACGACTTAGAAGATGTGGAGCTGCTCCCAATAGAACGACTTCTTGGAGTATGCAGACGATATTGCCCTAATCTGTGTTAGTTCACTGGCGTGCCAAACATGCCCTCTCTTAGCCGCTTCGGGCTATGCTTTGCACCCTTGAATTGCAAAGCTTTCCTTCAAGATCTGCAGGGGCCCGCCTTCTGCGCTGACCCTTGATAAGGATCAGATAGAAGTCGTACAAAAATTCAACTACCTGGGAAGTTGTATCAGCGCCCGTGAGATCGAAGATGAAATCACGAAGTTTATAGCAAAAGTTGGAGGCGCTTTCGCTAATCTTCGCCCCTTATGGCGCCGGCGCGACCACTCTACCTGAAATGTAGAGTGTATACTGCAGGCGTCCATTCAACTCCTTTACGACTGTGAAACCTAGCCCATTAAATCAGCATACATAGGGAGCCTAGTTACGTTCGATAACCGGTGCTTTGCAATTTCTCACATATCTGGTAGGAACACCGAGTAAGCAACGAGCGTGTTCGACGCACAGAAAAAGGAAATGAACCGCTCAGCATCGTTATTTCACGCACCAGGCTCCGCTGGTTGGGCCACATGTTACGCATGCCAACCCACTGAATCCGGCGACATGCGTTGTTTACGCGCCGGGTATGTGGATGGAAGAAGAGGAGAAGTGGCCAAGCGATGACTTGGTCGAGAGGAATGAATGCCCTCAATTCGATGCTGACGTCTATTGGAACGTCCCGTCTCCCTAGTTGAGGTGCGGAAGACGATGAGCATGTTTGTCTGGATACACCTGCTGACATGGCAAGGAGCCGACATCAGTGGCGTTCGTGCTGTGTTTGTTTTTCCTTCCCTATACCTATTATCCTCCCCCTCCACCTGCGAGGTCACTATTTAGCCTTATGTTATTTTGCATAGTAATTTTTTTGCTGCATAGTAGCCGGCTGGTAGGTTACCGGTACAATGCCCATCCGTTACCGATAGCTCAGCCGGCTTGCACCAGTTGCTTTTTTTCTCTTTTTCTGTGTATTGCGGCACAGTAGCTGAGGTGTTTCCCACCTCTAGATAACGTGAATAATGCATAATGGATTATCTCTAATCCATAACCGACTGAACCGCGTGTTCACATCGCCGTTGCAATTCCTCGTTCGACTCACCTTGTTATCTGTAAAGAAGAGCTCTTCTCACAACTAACTGGAGTTCACAAGGTGTTCTGTGTGAGTTAGTTTTTGGATCCGATTGACAGGCTTCTTTCGTTTTTCCGATTGGACTTATAACGGATGGCATTTTGCGGTTCTCGGTTTTTACTATTGCGAAGTCGTTCCGTGAGCCATCCGCATGGTTGGGCTTCACGTTGTTTTTCTTAATGGGTCTTAAAGGATGCAACTCAGCATTTAATGCTTCGACCGACTTTACTTCCTCACGCCACATTTAGTCTTTGGATCTGCATAATATCTTGACGCACCTTTTCTTTTCATATTCAAATCACTTTCGTCACGCTTTTATCTGCCGTTTTTTTATTCTTGGGTGAGGTTTTAGGTTGTTCTGTCGTATTGTGTATCATTACTCTCGACGCGCATGTGACAATTTTCAGCGATCAGCTTTTTATCACAACCCTTCAAACGGACCTCTTTTGCCTACAGATACCAATGACGTTGTTGGTCCCCCCCCCCACGCTCACATTACCTCTGGTTTCCCATGTGTGTTGCACCAAAACGCTCTTTCCTCTGCTGTCCAACTGATGTATCCATTTATGCGTGTGTGTTTTAATCATTACTATCTAAAGATGATAGCCTAGCAACGGTATCCGTCAAACCTAGATGTCCTGATAATAGTAACTCGATATTTAAAGCACTTTAGTAGCCATTATGTGTTTAGTGTCGTATTTCATCCTCGCCACGTTAGTTTTATGCTGGCTACCGATTATTCTAAACTCGACGTTTTGGTTTTATTGATTCTGTTTGACCAATCGTTACGTTTCCTCTAATCGCGCAGGTTATCACAATCCACGCACTTCTGGTTCTGGGAGCCCACGCGAACTGCATTTGGTATGGCATAGGTGATAAATCTGATCCCGTTCGCCCCAAATATTCCTCTTACGATGGCCCTGCCAAACCACTGGACAACGAGACCGCTTACACCACTTTGAAGAAACTGTGCCCCAATTACGCGCAGAGCCACAATCCTTCTCTGTGTTGTGATGGTGAGCAGGTGGCCTTCTTCTCCGCTTCTGCAGTGGCTGCTCAAGACCTCTTAAAAAGGTTCGTCAGAGTTTAACCCATTTTTTAACCTTCGCCTGTTTTACCACTTGAGTTTCTTTTGATTGACAACGCAGATGATGTCCCGTTTCGCAACAAACTAGGACCAACCATAGGGAAACCATCAGCAGTTGCGTGCAAGTTGAATTCCGTTAGGTCCAAGCATTACCGTAGCGTACGTAAACGTAGATTCACAAACCCAAAGTATACTACGACGACCTTGTCCATTATTAATTATTGCTTTCCTCCTCCAACCTTCTGTTTTACTCCTTCTGGATTGTACTGTTTTGTGACGTGCTTGAGGTTGCAGTGTACCAGTCAGGTATGCAACACAGACAGACCTACTTGGAGTTCAACGCTGCTAACCATGACGTTAGTTCCGTCATCTCATTGGGAAAGGCTACACAAGTCACAGTTTCTCTTCCTTGTTACTTGGTTGTATTAGGTCATGTTGTTTGGTACAATGCAGGCATTTCACTTTACAGCAGATATGGACTTAGTTGGTGTATCTCAAGTACCCCCCCCCGCTTGAATCAGGTACTTCCATCACTTATTTACACGAACGGACTGGCTTCTAACCCATTTGAGATTTCCTTGTTAATATTATTACCCTTTAGTAACCGGGGTTATATTCATATGGTGATTTGGGGCTGAACACGAAACTAATAATGGCGAGTGTTACTTCAGAATTTACCAAACCACAATAGATAAACAACTGAAAATCAACGGAACTGGTTTTCCTCCCAATTGAACGCTTTATTTATCCCGAAAATTCAGATATCTTCTCGCGCACCTATTTCTTCCGACCCATCAGATGTCCTGCGTGCTGGGCCAACTTCCGTCTTCTTCTATGCGCCATGACATGCGATCCGAACCAGGCAGAGTTCCTTACTCCGAACATAGACAAATCCGTGGTCTCCTCCATCGTGTACAATGTGAGCAGTACCGTGGCAAACACATTTTTTAACAGTTGTAAGGTGAGTTTTCGTGGCCACTAGTATTGGTGAATGAGACCCAAGTGCATCACTTCTGTTCTTCGACATCGGCTGCCCGCTTTTTTCACCATCATCCTTCTCACGATAGCATGTCTGTTCGCTAAGCTGGAGTTTGCTTGTGCTAGTCGTGCTGGTCCGATTCGATATATTTTCCAGTATTTAGCTCCACTTTATTCCATCTTTAACTCCAAATGCTTCCACTTTATGGCCGGCCGGTAGCCTTAAGGATCACAAGCCTGTCTTATAATCGGAGGGCGCAGGTCCGAGCCTTCATAGGCACCGGACGACCCTCGCCCACGTGCGACTGGTGGTGGTCGCGGGACAGCGGTAAATAATAGAATAATAATAATGCGTTAGCTGTACGCCGTAAGGGCGCTTCGCTGCCGCGCGACCACCACCAGTCGCGCGCGGGCTGAGTATACCGCGAGGACGCCCACCTCTACGCGAATTCGAACCGGTGACCTTATGGTTGCAAACCAAACGTGCAGACCACTCGGCCACCGGTCGGCAGCGAAGCATTGGTGCTGCTTGTCGGCTTACTGCTGATAACTTCTTTATGGATCAAACACCTCACAACCTTTGCTTATCGGTCGTCTGTTTTACTGGTTATTCACAGCCAGACGAAGGAGCTACACAATGCGACTAAGGCTACCTCACTTGTTGGTTTGAATAAGCTCCGATGGAATGTTTGTGAGTAGTAGGGGATTTATTAAGTTTTTGCGTAGATTGGTCGCACTTAGACACAGACAGACAGTCACCACACATCCAAGAAAGCGCTAGACTGCCGTTTCGTCCTAGTGTGACTCGTCAGTAGCGCGCATCCGCCGAATCCTGCCGGATTCGAACCCACGACCTTACTCTTGCGAGTCAGCGACTTATGTCACTGAGCCATGGGCGACGGCAGCGGACCGCCATGACTAATATCTAACCGCGATATGGCGCAGCTCATCCTTCACTGTCTTGCATGTTAGGAATGTGCAGAGGACATGGCTGGCCCCCAGAGCAACGATTTCCTTTGCAAGCCGCCACTAATCGAGGTGGAATGTCTTAGATGTCAGCTCCGAGCTGCTTGTTGACTGTACCTAAGGGTAATCCCATCCGTCCAGACTCCCAGATCTGATCACTTTTAACGAATTAGTCTTCCATTCTTCGAACACTATATGTCCACTTCTGGGAACCGTGGGATTTTACACTATGCTCTTTTTGACCCCTTGCGTATTTACGGTCAAGGAAATCTCTGATATGTCTGAAATGTTCACTGCACTTTAGCGTATGACTTTCAGATAATCGGGCGATGAACTTAAACTCTACTTATGCTTGAAGCGCTAAGTTCCCTGTATCATTATAAATAACACAATGAGAAAACGGATGTTGCACGATGATATCATTTCGCTCTTTCTGATCACATGCAGACGATCGACATTTAACGATCACGAAAGAACAAAATCAATAATTTGAATGGCGTCGGAATGGGAATGAAAGCAGCATAAGGGCATAAACTCTAACAGCATTACTTATGTTTTTGTCTTTCCAAGTGATTGCCTCCCAAAGTGTTTAACTTACTCAGTACCCTTCGACAACTGAATCATTTAATTGCCGTCTGCTCTTTTTGTAATGACATCTGTTTTCGTACCCACCCTTGAAGATGCGCAGTTTCGACAGTGTTAGTCCTGTTCCCCTACGGAGCTGCCCTTCTGTCGATGGTATTCGTATCCCCAGATCCCAACCATCTTTTATTTCTCGTTTCGCCTATCCGGAGACGATGCAGCTGCGAGCACCGACCAAACCGGTGTTTGTATTGCCTTGAATCCGCGAGCTGAATCTGCTCTGGTTGATTGTATCCCAATCATTAACCGGCTGTGTGCGGTCCGATTGACTGGCTCGTTCAAAGCTTCGAAGTCGTGCGGGACCAAAAGTTGTCCATTCGTCATCGCTGCCTACGCGCCCACAAACTGCAGTGATGATTCGGTGAAAGACGACTTCCATCGCTAACTGAACGAGCTCATTCGCCACAGTAGAAGCATGGACACTATGGTGCTAGTTGGGGCTCTGAGCGCTCAAGTTGGAAACTTATCCACTGATGAATTACATCTGGGCGGGCAACGCGTTTTACGCTCCCGTAATGCTAACGATGAGCGGTTACTTCATTTGTGTGAATCTGCTCGCTTATTTCTTGCGTGCACTAACTTCCGACACAGCACCCCTCGGAAGGTGACTTGGCGCCCACCAGCCTCGAACCAGCTATGAACGCAAGTCTATCACATTGCGATCAGCTGTCGCTGGAGAGGCTGCATCCAGAGCTGTCTCTCGCTTTGGAGCACATGTGTGGACACTCATCGTGCACTTGTATGTGCTGACATGCGGAGGCGTATCGGCGGACGCCCACGATGACGTTGTGAGCGCATTGACACCAGCCAACTGACGAAGCCAGCTGTTCTGAATGCGTATCAAAGTACGCTGACATACGGGCTGAGTAATTGCTTAGTGAACACAATTGTGGTTACTGGTCTCATGTTCACCAGACCTCACTTGCAGCAGGAGAATCCTCATGTGGTGAGTCTAATAGCGGGCATGGACATTGGCTCTTTTCGCGGTCTCTGAAACTTATCGATGCTCGCCGGCACGTTCCGGCTAAGAGCGAACACAGTGTGACTCGCAAAGATCTGTTGGTAAAACTCGGTGCTACATTGAATAGCGACCGCGAATTCTGGTGGTCTCATCGTGCGTCAGTGATGGAAGTGGTCGATGCCCTTGGTAGCCATCGGAAGTGATTCCGTCTGATATGGGTAACGGACAGCAGAAGACCTGGTGTTAGTGGAACAATAAATGACGAGAGTGGACAGCCTATCCACAACTTGTCAAAACGCTTAGAACGTTGGGCTGTGCACTTTGAAGTGCAATTTAATCGGTCGGAATTGTCAGATTTTTCGCCGGCCACTGATCGCCCTTCTCCGTGGGCTGTCCCTTTGGTTGCGCCCTCTCCCTCGGAAGTCAAACGTCAGTTCGGACAGCTGAAGATAAATAAAGCTGCGGGATTAGATGATTTTCCCCCAGCCCTCTTTTAATTCTGGGGACCTGCTCTTGTGGATGACTTATACACGTTAATAGTGTTTAAGCAGGAAACTGTCTCAACCGACTGGAGCCGCTCCGTCATAGTCCAACTTTTCAAGGGAGGTTCACGATCGGAATGCGGTAACCATAGCAGAATCAGTTAGATCTCAATCGCCTCCAAATTACTTGCCTCTTATCCTTCACAGACTGACTGGCTCTCGTGAAAGCCATATTCGTGAAGAGCAAGCCGGGTTCCGTCGAGGTCGAGGGTGTATCGACCACATCTTCACTATGCGTCAATTGTGGGAGCACTGTTACATATATTGGCGCCCTGCTGTAGTCGTATTTCTTGACATAAAAGGTGCCTTCGATTCGGTTGATCGATGTATACTTTGGGACTGTCCATTCCGGAAAGGTGTGTCCGAAAAATATGTAAATATTGTCGGAGCGTTATAGGCGCGTAGCTCGGCCAGAGTGAAGACTTACGGCAAGCTGTCGCTGTGCTTCAATATCTCCAGTGGTGTGAGACAAGGATGCCCGCTGTTACCTTTCCTCTTCAATTTTTCCATTGACGAAGTCATGGAGATGGCGTTCACAGGACACGACTTAGAAGATGTGGAGCTGCTCCCAGGAGAACAACCTTTTGACTTCTGCTATGCTAACGATATTCCTCTAATCTGTGTTAGTTCACATGCGTGCCAATTATCACTGGTTGCCAGCCGCTTCGGGCTATGCTTTGCACCCTTGAAGTGCAAAGCTTTCCTTCAAGATTTGCAGGGGCACGCCTTTTGCGCGGACCCTTGATGAGGATCAGATAGAAGTCGTACAAAATTTCAACTACCTGGAAAGTTGTATCAGCGCCCGTGAGATCGAAGATGAGATCACGAAGCGTGTAACAAAAGCTGGAGGTGCTTTTGCTAACTTTCGCCACTTATGGCGCCGGTGCGATTTAACTCTCTACTTGAAGAGTGGAGTGTGCAATGCAGCCGTCCATTCAACTCTCCTTTACGGCTGAAACCTGGCCCATTGAATTGGCTACATATGGAGGCTAGTTGTGTTCGACAACCGGTGCTTTCGAAGTTTGGCTCACATATGTTGGGAACTCCGAGTAAGCATCGAGTGTTTTCGACGCCCAGGAAAAGGAAATGAACCCCTCAGCACCGTTATTTCACGCACCAGTCTCCGATGTCTGGGCCACGTGTTACGCATGACAGCCCATCGACTCCAGCGACGTGCGTTGTTTGCGCGCCGAGCAAGGCAACCCTCGCAATATCCTTAGCCTAGATTCGACCGGTGGTTGTTGCACAGCAACGAATCATGTGTATTGCCTGCCGGCGTACTGCTGATGCCTTTCTTTCTTTCCTATACCGAAAAGACAGGAATCACCTGATCTCGTCTTGTTGCGTGCCGTCTCGGGATTGCCCTTATTGGCATTTGATTGGCCTCATTGTTGTGGCCCAATATGGACTTCAGTTGTTATCTTACTATTCGTCCCATACTTCTATAATTTGAAGTACCTCGATCACATCTTTCTTTTCTACTGGTTTTCATTTGGATCATGTCCACTTACTCATCCTCGTTGTTGAATGTTATTACCGTTATTGGTCGTAGGCGAAGCACATCAGCGTTATTACTACGCTTGTAAATTTCCTGTCAACTCAATCTGTTAAACTTCAGTGGATGGTTCTAAGGTTGTCTTCACAGTTTACTTCCCCACCGTAATCATCACCAATGTTTTTTGCTGCTCTGCTCTTACTGATGTATATTACCCATCGCCCACAGGACGTCCAATTCGCCGGTGCGCACGCTATTGACCCTATTTGTGCATCGACTTCTTGCACTCCTGAGAAGCTTCTCGGCGGTATTGGATCCCAAAGTCCGTTTCCGGTCAATTTCGTCATTACACCGAACCCCGCCAATCCCACGTCCAACACCGGTGGAAAGCAGCCCTTTAACCAGACATTCTATCCGTGCAACGAATCAGTGCCTCGGCGTGGTTCCGACACTGGAGGACCTGCATGCTCATGTTTGGACTGTGAAAGCTCCTGTGTAGCACCACCGGAACCTCCTGCACCACAGCCTCCTCCACAGGTTTTCGGTACGTAGTGTAGATACTTAAGAGAATGAAATGAATTCCAATCCTTTTTGCTCTTGCATTTTTGTGTATACACAACTGGTCTTGGTCTACAGAGACCTTACGATACGAGTGAGCGCATTGAAACCGTCCCCCCCTTCCACCTGTTCAATTTGACGCGTCGATCTTTTCGACCATTGATGCCCTTGCGGTATTGCTAATACGTGACACAGATGTTCGTCATCTGATGTTTGGCAGCTGCACTCCTGATGGCTCAGCGAAGTTCCTCTTAAACTCGAATCCTCTACGCTCGCTCTATGTTTGTTTTTTGATGGTGCTTCGCCTAACTTATTGAGACCCTGAAATGCTCAGTTAATGAAATGATAACAGAACATGGAGAAACTCGTCTAATGATGGAGTCGTGTTGGTGCTTGCCGGCTGGATGACGCAGACCAGTCTGTTTCCGAGTACCGGACCAAAAACATCAGCATTACTCCTTCGGTTCTCTCATCATCTATAAGCAATCCAACACAAGTACGGACTTAAAAACATGTAGGAGTGTCCGTTGCTCCCGTATCGCATTCGGTGATTCGGTCACGTGTCCCGCATGACTATAAGCCCTATTGCTCCTGCATGTATTGTTTCCAGTGCTGCGCCTAGTCGGGTAAAACTTCGAGGTGGCTAGCCGGCGACATAGCAAGCGAACATCAAACAGCTCATCAAAACTCTGTGTTTATTATTGGTTCTTGCCGCCCTCCTGAATGAGAATCGACCATAACAATCGTTAGATAGTTCGCTCGATATGGCGCGATCACAGAGTTGGTGGCACTGTCTTGATTTTTGCGGTTTTCTTCGCTGTTCGTTCATATTAGTTTTATTATTATGACTTCTGTCCTCTTCACTGCGTGTGCCAAAGCGGTGCGCGCTGCTTAGTTGAAAAACAAAACTGAACTAGACTGCATTTTTGTCTTCGGATGGCTGACTGATAACTACAGGGGCACTGAACACCCTGAAATTTTTCTTACGTTCCGTGCGTCCCTGCATTGCTGTTTTTTCTCTTCACACTAGAGAGGCGTCCTGTTTAGTTTGTTAGTGTACACTACCTTTCCACTGGAAAGCGCCTGATTTTATTTTTGAAATGTGGCAGTTACTTATTTCACAGTGGCCTGTGGTACTCGACCTGTCTAAGTTAATGTGTCACTTCCTCCCCCTCCCCTCCCAATCGATGCGCACTGCCTCCACGCCTATCACCGTTATAATAATATTATTTTAAAAGAAGTAGGAAGAATTAACTCTCGGGTGGAAATCTTAGGAGCTGGGGATTTGAGGAAGAATGTGCATGTGCCAACGGCTTCCTGGCTGCTTCACATCCAATGAATATTTTCGTTCTATTTTGTCGGCCGGTGGCCGAGTGGTCTGCACGTTTGGTTTGCAACCATAAGGTCACCGGTTCGATTCCGCGTAGGGGTGGGCGTCCTCGCGGTATACTTAGCCGGCGCGCGACTGGTGGTGGTCACGCGGCAGCGAAGCGCCGTTACGGCGAACAGCTGACACATGATTATTATTATTATTATTACTATTATTATTATTATTATTATTGTCGTTTACTTATCTCTGTAACCTTGGAAATCTCTTTGTTATATTTTTTTCGATGTTAGCAACCCAAACAGGTGTCTTGGTTGTGCTTGCAATGTTGAAGTACGCCCAATGAGTTAGGTCATCTTCCCTACAACTTCCATCTCTCATTCGCTTATCTGTTTCTGTCGCTATCAGTCAGTTGGTCCAAATCAGCACTCTTCATTATCATTGTAATCACGAACAACAACAATAGTCCATCAGTTTCATGCAACCTATGAATTAGGACAAGGCGCTTCCAATAGTGAAAAACAGGAAGGGAAGGAGGGACCTTATACGGAACGTAAACTTCATATGAAAACACTCAATGTCCAGCCATAAATGGCTGGCTATCATGTGCAGATAGATGACCATCGGAAAAGCTATCTTCTTCTTTGCTTACCGACCACAGGATGCAAATGTTTAAACAGAGAAACAGGAGAGTATCCAGAAAATCTTTTTCTTCTCTGTGACATTCAGTTAAACTTAGGGCAGCAATCTTTGGAACTGCACCTGCTCGTTATTGCTATACCCAGTTATATTTCCCTCCAATGGGGTGGTTGGTTTCACAGACCTCAGTCCCTAATGGGACTTATTAAAATAATAATAATAATGTGTCAGCTGTACGCCGTAACGGTGCTTCGCTGCCGCACGACTACCACCGGTCGCGCGCGGGCTGAGTATACCGCGAGGACGCCCACCTCTACGCGGATTCGAACCGGTGACCTTATGGTTGCAAACCTGTCATTTGTCCACATGTCACACTTTATGCATACGAAAAACCTACCATTCCGTGATAGCTCATCCATCCATTGTAGATGTATCCTCCGTCATTTGCCCCTTTTATGCTTTTTCATCATTAATATAGTCACTGGAAGCCAGCTAATTAATTAGAGAACGATTTGTACTACTTCTAACTAAGCAAATATCTTACCGTTTTATTTCTTACGTTTTAACAGAAAGCAACTTTTGATGCCTACCCTTGTTGTGTCCTCCTTAGGTTTCGATGCCTGGTGGGTTGGCGCCTTCTTCACTTTTGTGGCTGTGGTACTTGTGTTCGCTGCCTGTGAAATTAACTCCCGCCTTCGCGACAGGCAAAGCGCAGCAGGTGTTATTGACGATAGACGCGGCCTTTTGGAAGACGACTCTTCCGAGGTTACAGATGAACTTGATGCAGTCGAATCTGCTCCACCACGGCGTCCCAACTGTTTAGTGCGTTTGCAGGCAAAACTCGAAGATATGCTGTGTCAGGTAGGATTCTGCATCACTTTGCTTATCTCGCTTCTTTTCATTCTACCTCTCACAGCTCTGCTTGATCTCAGTTAACCTCTCTTTCGCACAGGTGTTCACCTGGCTTGGCCGATTAGTCGCCCGTCATCCGTACATCACTCTATTGATCTCCCTCTCGATATCTATCGCCTTAGCCGCCGGTTTGTCCATGTTCACCGTGACCACGAATCCCGTCGAGCTATGGTCGCCTCCGACGTCCCGCTCGCGGCTGGAAAAAAGCTACTTCGATACTAATTTCGCGTGAGTTTTTATGCACGTAATTGCCGGAATGTGGATCAAGAGTATTCCGCTTGTCGCACGCTTGTTTCCATGTTGCTTTTTTCCGGTCCTCGTTTTTAGATTGATCTTGCATTTTCACCAAACGAAGCCATACTATAGATAAATAAATGGTATATTTCTTGCTAACTTTACACGGACTGTCTTGGTCTTTCACCCAACTAGCACTTGTTTCCTTGTCCATATCGCAGGCTCTTTGGGTTAGTTTGCTCATTTGTCATTCTGCTCAGTACAACTCCCTTGTTTTAGTGTTCCTAGCGTGGAGTTAGTTCGTTCTTTTCAGTGACTCCGTTCCTCTTAAGACTGTCTGGATTAACTCAAAGCAAATTGTGGCGTTAACACTATCTTAATAACCATGTGAAAACTACTGTCATATCCATCCCTTCTTTTTGCTCGATGATGTATGGTCGATGATTTCGGATTTGACCCCCAACTTTGCCTTCCTGCAACATCGGAGCTTCCCCACAGCGGCACTCCTTTGTTTTATTTTTAACTCATACTTTTGCTATGATCATAGAAATGACTATTGCATCTTGAAATCGTTAAGGGAGCCGTTTAAATCCTGTAAAGCATTGCTTACATCTGTTGGGGCGCTGTCGTAGGAAATCCTATCATGGACGAAATTCGTCACAAGCTAAAACTCAACAGGGCACCTGAGTCTCGCCACCTTCCAATTCCAGTACTGAAATGCGTTGATGACCCATTAGTGACTGCTCCGGTTGATCCCGACACTATTAATGCAAGTTATAAGCGCCCTCCAAAAGTAGTTTTCCCCCTTCATTCCCATTTCTAAAATGCACTGAAGAATGTTATGCGCAAACCACGATTGCATCAGTCTTTTTTTCAACCGTCCGCAACCTGTTGACATAGACCATACTGTCGACTCACTGATTCACGTGAGATGTGAACCATTGAATCAGGCGGACTTCCGCACTGGATCGCTTGCACCGACCACATCTTTACTCTTCTACAGCTACTTCCAACGTATTCCGTCTGGAAGCGAACATAATGAGGCTCGCAAATATTTTAGGGCAACACTACCTGCTAGCCTGTAAAGACCATAAAGCTTGGTGTTCTGCTTGTGCGTTGATGTACTTGGTAACCATTGTAAGTTGTTCGATCTGACACAGGGGACCTGTTAGTAGCAAAAATATATGCGACTAGCTTAAACAACTTGTTTGCGGCTTGACAAAACGCAATGAGGCTGGACCTTACCGTGGTGCGATGGTTTGTGTGCCTCAGTGATCCATTGAGCTATACTGGGTGGTGCTTTTGCACCTTCAGAGCCACTCATACCAGATTGGTCAATGGTTAGAGGCCAGACAAACTCAGCCTCCTGGTCCTCCAGGTTGGGGGTTGGAATGAGGGTGGCTCCTTATTCCTTAAAACGGACTCCTTGTAGTCCAGTGCCAAACCCGCTGCCTTGCGGCCAGGTTTTTGAACCAAAGGCTTTGGTTGAGAACCCTAATCGTTCTCCTGTCTTGGCCTGGGCAACCTGACAGTATCCTGCCCACGCAATACAATGAATCTTTCCTCAAACAAATTTCTGATGCTCTGGCCACCGCAGAGGATAATCAACGGTGCCCTGTCTGCGGCATCGAGCAGGGTGGATAGGGGGTTTGAATGCTACTGCTCAAGCCTTCCCATCTTCTTATTCCCCCTCTTGCGCTTTTTCACCCTTATCGTCCTGTTCCAGCTCCACTTGTATCCCCCTGTTTTCAACTCCCCAATTCTCGGCCCTCCCCCACCTTGCTTCAATAGTCGCTTGTCTTTTAGTTTCAACTCACAGGTGAACGCAGAGCGTCATTCCTGCACTGTCAACAGGCCCATGTCCAACCAAGCGGCCTATTCCAGTTCATCGGTTTCCATTTGGAGCCCTCGATCCTCCTTCAGACTGGCATGCCTCAATGTTCGCACACTGCTTCAGATCGGTCAACAGGCAGCACTTGCCCGAACATTAGAGACCCTCTCAATCGATATCTGCTGCTTATCGGAGACCCGCCTGCAAGACTCGAGTTCTGTACTCACTCTGCGATCCCCTTCAGGTGACGCAAGCAGCACTTTCTCATTGCGCCTATCCGGTGACGATGCAGCTTCGAGCACTGGCCAAGCCAGTGTTGGTATTGCCCTGAGTCCCCGGGCTGAAGCTGCTCTAGTTGATTGAATTCCAATCAGTAGCCGGATCTGTGCGGTACGATTGGCTGACTCGTTCAAAACTTTGAAGTCGCGTGGGACTAACAGGTGTCTATTCGTTATCGCTGCCTATGCACCGACAAACTGTAGCGATGACTCGGTAAAAGACGACTTCTATCGCCAACTGAACGAACTCCTTCGCCACAGAAGAAGCTCGGACACTGTAGTGCTGGCTAGGGATCTGAACGCTCAAGTTGGAAAATTATCCACAGATGAGCTGCATCTGGGCGGCCAACATGGTATAGGCTCCCGTAATGATAACGGTGAGCGGTTACTTCATATGTGTGAGGATGCTTGCTTATTTCTTTCGCGCACTAATTTCCGACACAGCACCCGCCGAAGGGTGACTTGGCGCCCACCAGCCTCGAACCAGCCTTGGACGCAAATCGATCACATTGCTATCAGTTACCGCTGGAGAGGCTGCGTCCAGAACTGTCGCTCGATTTGGAGCACAGGTGTTGACACCGATCATGCACTTGTATGTACTGACGTGCGGATGCGCTTTGGCGGACCCCCGCGACGATGTTGTGAGCGCATTGACACCGGCAGACTGGTGAAGCCAGCTGTTCTGAACGCCTATCAAATTTCGCTGTCATCCGAGTTGGATAAACGCTCACTGGATGCAATTGAAGCTCACTGGTCTCATATGCAACAGGCCTTACTAGCAGCAGGCAAATCCTCATGTGGTATGTCTAATCGCCAACATGAACATTGGGTCTGTTCACAGTCTCTGGAACTTATAGATGCTCGCCGGCATATTCCGGCTGGAAGCGAACACAATGAAACTCGCAAAGTGCTCCGTGCTAGCCTGAAGAGAGACTGCAAATTCTGGTGGTCTCATCGTGCATCAGAGATGGCAATGGCCGCTGCCCTTGGTAACCATCGTAAGTTATTCCGTCTGATACGGGAAACGGGCAGCAGGAGACCTGGTGTTAGTGAAACTATACGTGACGAGAGTGGACAGCCTATTCACAACTTATCAAAACGCCTGGAACGTTGGGCTGAGCACTTTGAAAGGCAATTTAATCGGTCGTAATGGTTAGATTTCTCGCCGACAAGTGATCGCCCTGCTCCGTGTGCTGTACCTTTGGACCCACCCTCTCGCTCAGAAGTCGAACATGAGATCAAACTGTTGAAGTTAAATAAAGCCGCGGGACCTGGTGACCTTCCTCCAGCCCTCTTCAAATTCGGGGGACCTGCTCTTGTGGATGATTTACATAAGTTACTAGACAAAATATGGGAGCAGGAAACTGTCCCTACCGATTGGAGCCGCTCCATCATAGTCCCAATTTTCAAAGGAGGCTCACGATCGGAATGCAGCAGCCATAGAGGAATCAGTCTGATCTCCATTGCCTCCAAATTGCTTGCCTCTGTCATCCTTCACAGACTGACTGGCAGTCGTGAAAGCCAGATTCGTGAGGAGCAAGCTGGATTTCGTCGAGGTCGTGGCTGCATTGATCACATCTTCACCTTGCGTCAGTTGTTGGAGCACCGTCACATATATTGGCTGCCCACCATTGTCGTGTTCCTCGATATCAAAGGTGCATTCGATTCGGTGGATAGACATGCACTTTGGAACTGTCTACTCAGGAAAGGTCTGCCCGAGAAATATGTGAATATTATCCGAGCATTATATGCGGGTAGCTCGGGCAGAGTGGGCTTACGGCAAGTTGTCGTCGCTCTTTAATATCTCCAGCGGCGTGAGACAAGGATGCCCGCTGTCACCTTTCCTCTTCAACTTCGCTGTTGACTACGTCATGGAAATCGCGTTCACAGGGCACGACTTAGAAGATGTGGAGCTACTCCCAGGAGAACGACTTCTTGACTTAGAGTATGCTGATGATATTGCCCTAATCTGTGACAGCTCACAAACATGTCAAACGGCACTGGACAGATTAGCACTAGCTGTCCGTCACTTCGGGCTTTGCTTCGCACCCTCGAATTGCAAAGCGTTTCTCCAAGATTGGTCTGGACCGCCTCCTACGCTGACACTTGGTGAGGATCAGCTAGAAGTCGTTCAAAAATTCAACTACCTGGGAAGTTGTATCAGCGCCCGTGGGATTGAAGATGAAATCACGAATCGTATAGCAAAAGCTCGGGGCGCTTTGCTAACCTTCGCCACTTATGGCGCCGGCGCGACATCACTCTCACCCTGAAGGGTAGAGTGTACAATGCAGCAGTACGTTCGACCCTACTGTACGGTTGTGAAACCTGGCCGCTTAAAGCAGCGGACCTGAAGAGACTAGTTACGTTCGACCACCGGTGTCTTCGTAATTTAGTTCACATTTGGTGGGAACACCGCGTGAGCAACGAGCGTGTTCGACGCCTTGTTTATGGCACAGGAAAAGGAAATGAAGCGCTCAGCACCGTTATTTCACGCATCAGGCTCCGATGGCTCGGCCACGTGTTACGCATGCCAGCCCATCGACTTCCGCGATGTGTGTTGTTTGCGCGCCGGAGGTGTGGATGGAAGAAGAGGAGAGGTGGCCAAGCGATGACTTGGTCGAGAGGAATGAAGGCCCTCACTTCTTAGCTGTCCTCGGTTGGTGCGTCTCGGCTCCCTGGTTGGGGTCCGAAAGACGATGAACACGTTTGGTTGGGCACGCTTGCTGATATGGCTAGGAGCCGACCTCAGTGGCGTTCGTGCTGTGAGTTTCTTTGTCCCACCCCATCCCTCTTAGCCTCCCCCTCCAACCACGGTCTCATTATTTAGCTTTATTTAATCTTGCATAATATATTTTTTCTTTTTGGGTGCACAGCAGCCGGCTGGT